GACAGCCAACCGTTGGATCTAAAGGACTTTGATAAATCACCGTCAGCGAGATCCCGAGATGAAAGACAGAACGACAAAAACACTAAATATTAAATATATCAACATTCATAAAAAAAATATGAAATGGAAATAGTCCGGCGGAACCACCGTGAATAATTGGCACTTGTCAACTCACGCGCTCTTTATTACTTGCCAATTTTATTTTTTTTGATGAAGAACCATTTCGTAATATTAAAATAAGTATTGAAATATTTCAGTGATAATGGGGCGCAGTACTTTCTAGAACATGTACCTACATATAGGATTTATCTTTTAAATATGATAATTGATAAGTAGCTCATTTCTCAAGGCTCTCAGCTTAGGTAGGAAAAAAAAATATTTTTTTCATGCCGGTGGCCGAATCTCCTATGAGGTCCCCGCGCGCCCCCTAGGCGTATCTGGGACTTGACGAACTGCAAGGTGTTGGGAGCAGACCGCGGGCCCAAGGAATTTTAGGGTCCTACCCACTAAACGACTCCCCTGCACTCTTACACCCGACGTCCGATCTCCGCCCGGGTTCAAAACCCATCCCACCCGGTACGTCAACTGTGTCCATCGATAACCGGGCGCACTAAGGAACATGCGGACAGCACTGAGCGCACGGCGTGACCGTATCAGAAAATGATTACAACTGAAGTATTCTCTCCGCGCTATCAAATTTCCGATAAAATTGTCCGTAATAGTTCTAGAAAGTTCCGAAAGTACAAGAAGAAGGTATAAGTAAGTCTTATAATGATTGTGCGAGTACAGTTAGTACAGCGGATCCGTTCGAACAATTAAAACAATGTTTCATTACATATTAAACGTCGGCTCTTATCTAAGAGAATCATCGGTTTGTTTGTGCAATAGTTTTAGAAGTTATTTGGGTAATTGTGCTCTCACGGGCTCAGTAATTAGTGTAGCGGTCTCGCGGTTAATGATTCGATGCCTGTTTCGGGCTTTTATAAAAATGGTCACACTCGTTGAATCTGTTATAAATCAAATTATTATTTTAGTTTTGGAAAGTTTCGGGTGTGTTCGTAGACGAGCGGTCGTGGCTGGGCGGCTGCGGGCGCGCGGTTCCGTGGCCCTCCCCCACTATGCATATATATTGCAATAGCTGACTTCCAAACATGAGTTTACGCACATGAAATGAAGCGCGAACATTTGTCTACTTGTACTTTTATAAATGATCTAGATTTGGATCTAGCTTTTATTGGTGGTAGGACTTCTTGTGAGTCCGCACGGGTAGGTACCACCACCCTGCCTATTTCTACCGTGAAGCAGTAATGCGTTTCGGTAAGGCGGTAAGGGCGGGGCAGCCGTTGTAACTATACTGAGACCTTAGAACTTATATCTCAAGGTGGGTGGCCCGTTTACGTTGTAGATGTCTATGGGCTCGAGTAATCACTTAACACCAGGTGGACTGTGAGATCGTCCACCCATCCAAGCAATAAAAAAAATCTAGGATCTAGGCTAAAATGATTTAGGTTTTTGTCTGATTTCTTCTACTCTAGCATAACTATAGCTTCATGTAATATAATCAAGTAACAACTGCTGGCGGTAGTATTGTCAAACGTCGCAATGATACACTCGTCTCGTGGAAATCTAAATAAGTTCAGATAGCTAATATTCCAATACAAGTGGTATTCCTAAAGGCTCCGAAGACCCGCCGGCCGATTCCATCATGAACTGTTTCCAGAACCGATTGGGCTTTCACTACTGATTTAAGCCCATCAAAAAATAGTCAATAGAATAAATATGAAGGTCCTAGCTGCTAGAGTCAGGTGTAGTTGATGAGATGATTGCCGCGTGTCGATGTGCCGGGCAAGGGCGCTCCTGACGCGGCGACTCTGTCCAACATCAATCACGCTCAATTGAGCTCACAGAGTGGACGTTACGTAACCCTCTGACTCACTCGCGAGATGTATCGGGAGTTCGGAACTTGACATGCATTATACTCTGTATTAAACGCCTCTGTCGTGAACAGGATATTTAACTGATTTTAACTATGAATAGGACCCAAGCCATATGGGACGGTAGCTAGCATCCCTAATCACCGGCCCAATGATCAAATCGTTTGTGATGTTAATTACCTTCGAGTACGTTGACAAATGAACAGACGATCTCGCCTTCCTGAGAGTGGTTAGTGGAGATCTTCAGCGTCGCTGCCATTCTCAAGCTCGACGAGTTCGACAGCGGATTGTCTTCTTCAGCATTTATGGCAACAACAGTGTGTTAGAAGGAATACGCGTTCCATTGTATTTTATTACTAAGTTTTTTTTTATTGCTTAAATGGGTGGACGAGCTCACAGCCCATCTGGTGTTAAATGGTTACTGAAGCCCATAGACATCTACAACATAAATGCGTCACCCACCTTGAGATATAAGTTCCAAGATTATAGTTACAACGGCTGCCCCGCCCTTCAAACCGAAACGCATTACTGCTTCACGGCAGAAATAGGCAGGGTGGTGGTACCTACCCGCGCGGACTCACAAGAGGTCCTACCACCAGTAAGTAGACGTCAACTCATTAAACGGAGCACCATCACAGATAGAAGCACTTGTTCAAACTCTCCTGTCATAAGAACGCATGTCTGTGATCAATTGCGTAGCTAAATATAACTTTCCAAAGATTTAATTAATGTGAATAGTTTGATATGTTTGATCCAGTGATCACTGATCTCCATCGCAGTGCATCGGTGCAGTCTAGACTTCTCTAGGCTGTATGCGTTAGTCGTGGCCTGCAGACGGGTGGGAAACACGCTGCGTTCACGCAACACGTACCGCCTTATTGAAGACTACCCACTGAAAATTATAATTTAGTTCTAGAGTAAAGGAAAAAAGAGAACATTTTTTTTATGATTGAAGGATTACTGGTGGCCCGAAGGCCTTTCCAGTTTCACACGGACAGGTGGGTGAGCAAAGGCTGAGCCAGCAGGGGTGGGATTTGTTAACAACTACCCGAGCGCCTCCGAAGGAGACCTAACGGCTCAAGAGTAGCTGCTTCGCGAATGAATCCACTACCGGATCGGAATCGCGACCCGCTGAGAAGATCCGGCGCGAAGAGAACATGTGGAATGTGAATGTGAATATTGAGTCCACCTAAATAATAACAAATAAATTAAAAAAAAGAAAAAAAACGCTTGACAAACGCATGTGAAAATATTCTTAACTTATTTTGGCCTGTCTATATATAAGTAATTGTGAATTAAGATATTCACCTTTCCGCGTTAAATCAAAGTAACCAAAACTGAAAGAGCTCTGATAATATTTACGATTTGTAGCACCATGCAAGTCTAACATAAAAATATGTTGCGAATCTCAGCTAACAAACAGTGACTTTTGTTGCTTACGATGAATCTTAGTACGATCCATCACATGAGATATCCGAAGATGTCGTCTCTTTGACACGTGAAGTGTTGTCACAGGTCTAGTGACCAAAACCGATGAATGAAATTTGAATTAGTCGTCATTCCTAAAAACAGAGTGCGGGTCGCTCGGTGGATAATTGGAAATGCTTTTTCGAGCGAACGAGACAGTCTTAGAGATAACGAAGTAACAGAACGCTACTTAATTACTATTTAACGTAGAACAAAAAACGGTTTATTTGTTCGAAAAACTAATACCCGCACACATACAGACAATACCACCGGAAGCGGTTTAATGCGCGCTAAAAAATCATGATAATTTTAAGTTACTCTCGTATAGTAATTAATTAACGAAATCTTGCCATAATGAAAATGACTAATAAAACCAAACTTTCATCAAAACCCGCCCGTCTGCAACGGCCAATCGGTACAAGCGATGTTATCTGTGCAGACCCGCGTCACGCGTGCACGCCCGTCTGTAACCGAACCGACTTTCTTTTAACTAATGACTCATTAGTGAATCTTGGTGATTGTATCGTTTTTAGATAGACTATTTTCGTATGCTCCTTCATTTGTAGACTGGCGTTTTTTTTCGTACAAAATAAGTAATTTATGTGTAATTAAAATTACCTTGATGTTTGATGTTACAGTATCTGCTAGTTTAATAAACAATGAGAGATGGGGCGATTTCAAGAACTTTATTAAAAATTTTAAGCATATGTATGTTTTATTTAACTTTTTCTCACTCATAATAAGATTGTAGATAGCTTATTGTGCCATATATTCAACAGTCAGAGGTCAACACTGGTCCGGGTTCTGAAAACTTCATCAACATCGGGCTTCGAACCTACCACCCTATGAACGACACGCCATTTAACAAACAACCATTAATTAAATCCATTTTATTTTCCAGCCGATTCCATCCAACAGTAACCACATCCGTTGAGATCGAATGTAAAAGATAATACCTGAACTACCAATATTGAATGTGCTGTTCCAACAATGGTTCCAAACAATAGACCCGAGCTATGAGAACTGATAACGTGATTAAAAACAATAGGCATAACGTCGATAGTTGAATGAACAATGCTGATTTTTTGATAACTGGAACTGGAGTATTAATGAAAATGTTAAGTTAGACAAACATATGTTCACGGGTAGCGTTTTATTGCCGCCGAAAGTAGATGAACGTAATGGGCCCTGGTCATGAACGCTAGCAATGTCATGAACCTGGCCGATTCGCGCCAAAATTGGGGAGTAGGGCACCATTCGTGTGTGGTCACAACATGGTGGGGAGCACAAGGCGTTCATTAGGAGACCCTAAAGGGCGGCGGGGTCGCGAAACTAGCAATGTTCCGCAAACGCAAAAGTATTATGTTAAGGCCGTATCGGCGTCGTAACCAACCTGCCTGTTTCTGCTGGACAAAAAATATCCGCTCCGTTTCCGGATATCATTGACTTAAGTCTGGAAACGAGCAGCCGCATTCACCCTGTTTCTATCAGCTCCAACCAATTTGACGTCAGATTGAGATTCTCCTGCTAAGCTCATCGAAAATAAAGTATTTTGATGTAGTCCATCATTAATTAAATGTCACCTTTCAATTGTTACAGAGAGCCACACTGGCCGAAAAGGAAGTCACCACGTTGAAGGAACAGCTAGCGACCACAAGCCCCACGCCTCTCCAAGCCAACATACCACCAAAGACAAATGGCTCCCACTTAGACCTAACCAGGGAACCCACAGATACTAGAATAGACCGATATAGTCCAGATATCAAAGAAGAGAAGAGACATACCCCTGAAATTGATGAGGATTTAGACAAGATGGAAATGGCTGCCACGGCTAGGAGTAATAGTAATTCATCTAGGAGTAGTCCTATCGTTCAGGGAGGAAGTTTGGAGAATGAGTTGGCAGCTAAAGAGAAAGAGGTGAGTTCAATTTATAGTTTTAAATTAGTTAGCTAGTTTAGAGCAATAAAATAAAATTCAAGGTTCGTCAATATACTGACTATTATATGGATATAGATGGATACAGAGCCCTCTGCCTGGTCTCGACCATTCTGTCTATGACACTGATGTTGGCTGGAATGAGCACCTAAAATTGTTTGCAAACAAATCAGTCAATACATTCAATAAGACGTTGGCATTGTCACATCCTCTCGGTAATCCTGGGTACTTTATCTCTTATAAGTCAAAAGGTCTTTGACCATTACAAACGACATTTTAACAGTACGGTGGGCGTCTATGATCATAAATACATATCAGAAACTGACTTAAACGCTGCATCACTGCTTCATTGGTCTCAATTAGAGCTGAACTCGTGCGAGTTACGATTAATTTAGTATATCGATAATATTGATTGATCGATTCGTGGGCGTCATTCAATGCTTCCGTTTAAGATCCATTATTCAGTTTCTTATTGAATTTGATAATCATTTGTTTTCACACGACTGAAACCAATTCTGAAAACGATTATAAATTAATAGTGATATAGTGCAATATTTTAACTTACAATATTTTAATTACCTATAATTCACATTGCTTCGATAAGGCAATGCGGTATGAAAACTGCCTCATCTTGGCCAACGTTGAGTACTTCCCGAATTTGGCTCACTCAATGATCCAGCAACCCAACTATTAGACGCCTGCAGCTCTAGCACTAGGAGTGTGGTATGGTATGGTATGAGTAACGTTACTCATATTCTCGCGGTCGTCGTGAAACTAAACCTATAACATCAACCCGCTGAGTTTCACGCCGATCTTTTAGCTGGTCGTGATCCGGCGGTAGATGTATTCGCGAAGGAATTGCCCTTAGGTCTCTAGGCTAGGTATCCTTCAGAGACGCACGGGCGACCCTTTATATATTTTTTTATTGCCCTTGTAGGCAGACGAGCATACGGCCCACCTGATGGTAAGTGGTTACCGTCACCCATGGACTTCAGCAATGCCAGGGGCAGAGCCAAGCCGCTGCCTGCCAGCCAAGCCGCTGCCTACCCTACCCTTCCTTGCTGAGCCCGTACTCGCCCATCTTACCTGTTCAAAATGAAATGACCAGTATTCCCTCTCTCTCAAAAAGAAAACCTATAGATCATCCGGAGACTATAATCCAAATTATAACGTTTTGTATTTAAAAATAAAATATCTTACGTTGGAGAAAAAGCCGATGTGTCGCACTGTAATGTCAAAAAGTGGTCATAGTCGAGTCGACCATAGGGAATTTACAATTTCCCGTACCTAGTTGAGTTCACTGGAGATGTGGTCTTATTGCGAACAAATATGAATTATTGCACATAAAAGCATGCTGATATACCCTTGCTAAAATACTTGACTAGTCCGTACAAATAATCATAAAAATCAATGAACGACTGAGACGCGTCACACGTCTCTGTCAACTGCTTCGACCGGCGTCACAACGGGTGCGTGCGACGCGACTTGCCACAACACTAATTGGTATTAGACTGACATCGGGAGCGCTTGCCAATGTCAATTAACAATGGAATCTGGAGGGATATATTTTTAACTGCATGATCTTTGCTGTTGTATTTGGTTCAGTTGGATGGAGCCGCTCCGGTGGCCATCTGTATGACAAACCTTCATCGCGGCGCGTGTCGAATCTATCGCAACACAATTAGCTTTCAAAAAAAACATACTTATGATTTTCAGTTGTATCCTCGTGATAATTTACAAACGCCTAACCGAATACCTGGGTCTCGCCTGTCCGTGAAAAAAACAAACTAAGTACAATAAGCAACCACGGGGATACCATCATAATGAGCCAAAACACGTGCTTTTTTTATGATTGAAGTATTACTGGTGGCCCGGAGGCCTTTCCAGTTTCACCAGGACAGGTGGGCGAGCAAAGGCTCAGCCAAGAGGGGTGGGATTTGCTAACAGCTGTCCGAGCGCCTCCGAAGGAGACCTAATAACTCAAGAGCAGCTGCTTCGCGAATGACGTTCTTTCTCTCTATTAGAGATATGTATATAGTTGGCAACCACTCCGTTGTACGGAGAGACTGACTTTTTTTGTGTTGTAATAATATGCCGTATGTTCCATCGGAAGTATTCGATTAATTTTTTAATTATTTTTGGTATCGACTCGTGCATGCTATCGCTTGTAATTAAGAGCATTTATCAATTTTCCGGGTTCGATTTCATTACTCTGTGATGTGTTACTCCTGTTATCATCTTCTTATCATTACGCCTCCCAGTACCGAACAGGGCTCGTCCTAACTGCCTTGAATCACTGCTTGTTCATTTCATTTTGACGCGTACCATTTAATTTTGTCTCCGGAAGGAATTGATCATACTAAGAAAAAACGTGCATCAAAAATTTTTTTGAAAAATTCTTCAGCAATAAAGAGTGAGTCGCTGGCATTGTTGATGCCCATAACCGACGATCTATGCTCTTTGAAATTAGTAAAGAATAGTCTACAACACTGCCTCGTTTGTCTCTTGGCTTTACCACCAGTGGGCAGGGTGTATGTATTCGGAGCACGCACCACCATCCTGCCTATTTCCGCGACACGCCAATCATCGACGCTAAATCTCAGGTTAAATGCCCTAAGCGTTTGGAGGATAGGATAGGAAGGGACTGCTACAACAAGACGATGGTAAACGTAGTAACAGCAGCATGATGGGGTCATCAGGTCGCCTCAGTCATACCCGGGCAGAATATGAGATGTATGGACCAATAACTCTTATCATCAGCTTACTACTCAATACGCGGCAGACACATTTACTAGAGAAATATTTGTAGCACTCTTATCCTCACTCATATCAAGTTGCCAGGTCAGCCTGTTAAGAGCGCGGTGTGCGGAGGATGCACTGGCGGTCACATCGCATCGAATGTAACGTATGATCAATAAATCAATTACTTGCGCGGGGGCAGCTCGGAATTGTATTTGACAGTTGTTTAGAAGATAGGGACGGGATCATTAAATATCGATAAATGTAATTAAACCGGTTGTTTAGTACCGAGTTTTTCTCCTTCAAAGAAATGCTTAGTGAAGCATTTTTCATCGAAGTCTCAATTGCAGTTCCCAATAGTTTGATCGTGTAAGCAAAATAGACTTGCTGTAGAAATGTGTAACGTCAATGGTATCTACGAATTTATTAAAAACTACCAGCCTCCCCTGCGACTGATGTTCATCGCAACCCATCCTCCACTGAACGTTAGCTCCTGCAACACCCGGGACCCAACCTCCTATGAAAGTTGCCCAGGAGCCCCGTAGTACCAAACCAGAGATCGCATATTAAAGACTACACAGTTTTTGCGCAGTTTTCGGTGAAGGTCCTGTGCATTTTAAAAAGTAACACATTGTATTCAATGTGATGTAAGCAATCGAGATTCACCTTTAAGCACACCTTACTAACACCCACTAATTATTCAAACTAAATCAAAAGGAACTTTATTAATTGGTAAAAATATCGATGTTTTGTTGTACCCCATCTCTAGCGAAGGGAAACAGGATACGTTCAATGGAATGATTGATCGGCTTCGAACGAACGATAATCCTTGCACTAAATAAATATCACTATTTACGACATCTCTACTTTTGTTTGAACCAACTTACGTAAAGAAATTTTATTGACTCAAATAAGAAAAGGGAAGGGTTAATGTAGGGAATAAAGACTTCGTAGAGTGATGGCTCCGAACAAGAAAATGTAGAACAAGACAAGAGATGGTGGGTATGTATATGTGCAGGTGTGGTGCTACCGACATGTATGGACACACTCAACAACTGTGCTGCTCATATTTCTATCAGCCTCGGGAAGAGATGAGTATTTTACTGGTGGTAGGACCTCTCGTGAGTCCGCACGGGTAGGTACCACCACCCTGCCTATTTCTGCCGTGAAGCAATAATGCGTTTCGGTTTGAATGGCGGGGCAGCCGTTGTAACTATACTGAGACCTTAGAACTTATATCTCAAGGTGGGTGACGCATTTACGTCGTAGATGTCGATGGGCTCCAGTAACCACTTAACACCAGGTGGGCTGTGAGCTCGTCCACCTATCTACAGAAAAAAAATCTAAAGAAAAAATAGACTGAAAATATAATCATAACTTATTCAGTTTAAGATTTTCAAATTGAACTACATATATTTGACCTACAATTTATAGAGTAATTTCAGGTCATTGGACGTTAGGTCAAATATCTTCAAACTTCAATATAAAATTTAGAGAGTAGAAAAATGAGAATCTTATCATCAGACGAACTGCGAGCTTGTCTCGTTGTATAATGTTGTAGAAGAACAAACAGCCAATCCAAATTTAAAGGTTGCCACAACACGCGAGCGGCGGTCCAAGTTGCGGATGTATTGTTAGACTCCGTATTGTTCTAATTTTTTGTTTAAAAGTTAATAATTTCATTGAAAGAATAAGGAAACCTTGTTAAAACAATACCTTTACAGCCGGAAAGGTAAATAATGAAAAATACCACAAAGAAAGGTAAGGAAGTACGTCGTGCGTACGTACTAACTGTCGCGGCGACATGACGGCAATCCTGACTCACAATCCGCGCTTAACTTCAAAACTTATTAGACCTATTGAAGGGACCAACTTCTTACAGTTTTTTTTTTTTTTTTGTGGCTTTAATTAAGTTCGAGTGAAGGGTGAAAGTTGTTATTCCATTTTGATGACAACCGATAAATGCTTTGGTTTCTTTCAAACTTTTCTTATTGAGCTTTCCAATTCTACGTTTCATTTTTCTAACATTATTACTGACTTTTTTAATTAAAATCGAAGCCATTTAAGTAAATCTAAAATACACGAGTACTGTTATTTATCTCTATAGTCTACAGTGCGGAGGAGCTGACCGTGGACCTCACTGCACAACATCGATTAAAGTCAACTTAGTTTTTTCTTCTATTTGCGCGAACCATAGACTTAAAGAAAACTACTTTGACGGCTTACGGACCATGAAAACTGTA